CATGGGGGGGGGCGACCATATATATACATACATGAGAACATCCAGCTCATTATCCTTGGGAACAGGATTCACCCACCCACCCACCCGCGCACGCACACACTGTGACACCGACTGTCGCAAAAAATCCGATTGCCAAGTCTGACAAGGCTCGTGAAGCCTTGTTTTGGCTCGTTGACGATCTCCGCAACTCAGCTGAAGAAGAGCGTCCCCTAGCCAGTCGCACGTGATTCCAGCACTCGGCGTTGTTGGAGGAGGAGGTAGCGCTCTGACAATTCGAGCTGTGAAGACCGAGCAATGGTATGGTGACTGGCGCACAGGTGCTGGTTTTCCTGGCCACCCTTGTCTATCGCAAGAAAGTCGATAGAAACCTTGCCCTGGCTCTCAATGTTGCACCCTAGCTTCAACTTGGCACTTGCAGAGGGTAGTTCAAAAAGCCAGACATGAAGTCGTGAGGTGCTGGCCAGTGTCGGCCCTTGGCTCATCCTCTATTATCACAAGTTGGTTGACTGGGACGAGTCGCATCCCCAGATAAGCGGACGGCCGTTTTCTGGATATGCATAGTCTTCGCATGAATGCTTCGGCCGCTTTGGCCGCCTTCCCTCGCTTTTTGCCAGACTGTGGCAGAGTTTGCGATTCTCGAGGCCGTGGCAGCCCGAGCTCAATGGTGATTGGCCTTCGACTGCCTACCTGGCACAATGGGCTGCACGATGTGTGGATTGCAAACCATCGAGTTTTTTCGAGTTACTCCTGAGTATTACTGGGTTCGTAGGCACATGTTGCCTACACACAAGAGGGGCAGAGCCTTCCCGAATCATGTCAAGAATGCACGAGGCGGTGTCTTATCCTTGCAGGGCCAAAACCCCTGTAACTATCTGGTTCAGGGAAAGGCATGTGCGGGCCGATGGGTATTCTCTCGAGCGAGTTGCGAGGCAGCGCACTTGGCTGATATTCCTGCGCTGCTGGCCATCCCCCTGAGTCTCTTTGGAGCAGGTGCGCGCTTTCTCCCGAAATTTGAAAGATGGAATCGCAGAGACCCCACAACTGGACAGGATCCATGCAGCCAGCTGCAGCACAAGAGGCTCTGGGCCAACTGAGCCAGCAAGCCTTGTGATCTGCAGCGTGGCCCATCCGTTGCAGATGTGTTAAATTGTTCCCAGATCCTTAATTGTCAGCAGCAGAGCTAGTTCTGACACTAAGTAAACTTTGATCCGACTTTTTTCGGGCAAGGCTGTGTCGCATGTTGCAGCACGTCTTCGCGAGTGCTTTAGCCGCCTTCAGACCTTTCGTCTTGGTCGAAGGTTCGAAGACGTGCTTGCCCTTCCGGGCCCCTAAGTAGCCCAGCCTCAAGCAGGACCATATTGTGTCAGTTGCGCTGTTCCGAAATACGGTGACACCGATGCCGTCGATATTTTTCAAAATGTGGTGCTGTGACGATGGGAAGACAATCGATGTTCGACACACACACACACACAGAGACACAGCTGTGGCGGCCTCAGGTCCATTGGCAGCCACTAGCATCACACCTTATGCCAGCTGAGTCAGATGTGGTGCAGCTTGCCTTCCCAGATGTTCCGCTTTGAAAGTTGCATGAGACTGTGCAGTGCGATGCGACTAGGCGTAGGACGCAAGCAGGCAGACCACCGTCCATCCATTCAGGCATGCATGTATCCACATGCCCAAAGACGCATACGTACGTTCGAATATCTACACACATGCATGTACACCTGCTCGGTACATGCATGCATGCATGACCATGCATGCAGACAGAAATATGTACATTCACACGATAAGTCTTTGCGTAGGCACATATGGCTGGACGGAACCCGAGAAGGGAGCAGACATCACAAAGAGATATGGGCAGACACACACAGACAAACTTGAGCACTCGCTACTAGCATCAGGTTCTACTGCACAGTTTCGGCCACAGTGTAACGCGACTTCACCCGCCTGTGTTGCTGCCGCCAAGCTGAGTTCTTCAGCAGTCGAAAACATCTCATGACAGGCTTCGGCCGTCTTTGAAAAGTCAGCGATTGTGGATTTCATGTGTGCTCAGCTGCCGCCTGCCGGGTCAACTTAGCCGTTTCCCACAAATGCTGCGGACGCCCTCCCCCGCCCCACCTGGCGCCGCGTGGCAGATGCGATGCGTCTCGAGATGACTGTATTGCCTTCCTCATTCTAGTCTTGCACATCCCAGGCAGAAACAAGTTCTTGAAGATGCTGGCCAGCAGGGTTGGAAGATTCGAACTCCTTCTGGTGCCATGACGCAATCGACAGCACTGAAACCGCAACACTCCCAAAGAGAGGAATTTTGAGAATCTATCCCTGGGCTGCCGTGCGGCGTGTTTATCGTGTCGCTTTAGGCACAATGCCAACAGATTCAGAAGATGCTATGCTAAACCTAGGCCTAGACTTGTGTTCAATTTGTTGGCTGTGGGTGCTCAGCTTCCAGGCTTATGTACTTAGCACTTGTCAAAAGCAGCAGCCCCCAAACCAAAAACATTGCGAAACGGCTCGTCGCGACTGTTAATCTGCGGCTCGTGATGCACGTCAAAAATGTTGCGTCACCTCTACACGTAAGCCGCCATGCCTGCACGTTAGGAAATGACGTACATCTATCCCATCATCCAACAGATTGATAGAAGTACGTTTAACGAGGTAGATACTGTGTGCTTGAAAGGCACAGCATTGCGTGTATTCCCTCCGGTCTCTCCTTCCTGCTCCATCGTCTAGGAGCTGTTAGGGCATGAAGACGGAAGATAGGGGTAGAACACTTCATTCACATGCTTGTTGTAGTTGCATGTTCATACCAGGCTCGGTCACTATGGTACGCCTTGAGGTCAGCCTGCACACCTACTCGCAAGTAAAGCGGTTGGGAACTCGCAAAGCAGCCGCAGACCTTGTTGAGCGCCTTCTAGTCTCGAGCTTCATTTTTGATTTCTGCGTTACCTGCGCCTGACTCCGTGCATGTCGAGCTCAACAGTGAGCACATCTGTATTACACCAGCGAAGACCCCAAAC